TCTCTTCCTCTCCGTCTTTGTCTCTCTGTTATTTTTCACTCTGTTTCTTTTCAATTTTCGCCCTCGCCGAGCTGCTCTCTGTTCATCGTTGTCCGTCGTCATCTTCATCGTTCATCGTTCATCAGCATCGCCTTCGTCTCTCGCCGTTCGTCTCTCTGGGAAGCAATGGCCGGCTCCAAAAAGAAGACTGCATGCAAACCGTCCTCCTCCTCTCCATGCAAACCTTCCACCTCATCGTCACCTAGGAAGGCATCGAGGGTAATTTCTGATTTTTGGGCTTTGTTCCAAATTTTAGGATTTTTTCAATTTAGGTGTTGAAAAGGAAATTAAGGGCTTGAATTCAAATTTAGGGATTTGCTCTGAGTAATTAGGGCTTTTCTTTAATTGAATTTATCTGAATTTCATAATTTTAGGGCTTCAATTCAAATTTAGGGGTTTTCTGTGAATTCGAAATTTTAGGGATTGAATTCGAAAATTAAGAGTTTTCTCAGTAATTAGGGTTTGAATTCGAAAATAGGGGTTTTCTCAATAATTAGGGATTTTCTTTATTTATTTGATTTTCTGTTATTTCAAAATTTTAGGGCTTGAATTGAATAATTTAGGGCTGAAATGAATTTGTTTGAATTTAGGGCTGAAATGAATTTCTGTGAATTTCTGTGATTTTTGTGATTTTTCTGTGATTTTTGTGAATTTCTGTGATTCTGTGAAATTATGTGAATTTGTGTGATTTTTCTGTGATTTTTGTGAATTTCTGTGATTTTTGTGAATTTCTGTGATTTTTAAGGCTTACGTTTGAAAATTTTGTTCGTTTTAATTGTTTGTGACAGGGCACAGAAATAAGATGTAGGTGTGCCCCTTCTTATTTCAAAGACGTCATGGATAAGACTGTTTGCTTGCTCTCGGACAAGCACAAGGAGGCTCTTCAAAAGAGTCCGTTTTATTTTTTTTCTGAATATGCCTGTTGTAGCTATTTTACATAGTAGAGTCGAGGCTCTAATTAGCACTTATAGGGTAGACTTAAATGCTTTTGTTGTAGGTGATAATTTGTTGCTTAATTTCGACCCATCCGAGTTTTGTATAACGATGGGGCTTCGACATGGGGGTTTAAGCGTAGACTTAGACCTCAATTTAGAGTCGAAAGCCCTATTCGATGGGTGGGGTCGAATGGATAAGAAATTGTTGAAAAGAAAGAATGTTGTCAATATGTTAGAAAAATTTGCCGCTGATGAAGGTCGTGTAGACGACTTCATCAGGATGTACAGCTTGTTTGTTTTTAGTTGCATATTGTTTCCTTGTTCTAGTTATTCGATCCCCAGGTTTGTTTACCCATACCTGGAGGATGTGAGTCGGATTTGTGAGTATGCATGGGGAGATGCTACTCATAAATTCTTGCTCGCCGAACTTGTTCGCCATGGGGAATCAAGAGACCGATCATATTTTGATGGATGTGTTTTTGGATTGATGGTATGTATATTTTTTTCTTTTTTTCAATGTCTTAACACAATAATATTAAATTGTGCGATTGTGTAATTCTGAAATCACGTGTATGTATGTAGGCATGGTTATATGAGCGTGTGCCTTCTCTGGGCAAACGTTCGATGCTCGAGAGGATTCCCCGTCTATTCCGATGGACGGGGTCCACTATGTCGTCTACATTTGAAGGGTCTTTACAGTCCCTTAGAAAAATAATGAGGCATAAGGTGATTTATATAATTTTATAGTATTATGTGTTTTGTACTTCTTGTTTTTATCTTGTTG